ATATTTTCTCATGATATATGGTGCTAATATGCTGCAACTTAGCAACAAAATTATAAAACTCAGAGAATAGATCAGACACAATAAAAATTAATGGAGGATATACTTTCTTTTTTTGGCTGTGACACACAGCATAAAATACATTCACTGTATAAACATGGTATATCTTAAATGTGATTTAAGTGTTTTGCCTTAACTAATGCTCAAAAAAAGACCTAAATTATCTACTTCCAAGACTTGTCCTGAAGAAATCACAAATCACTGTGATACAATTTAATCCTGAAATCTGCACTATGTAGTTTTTTTTAACCATACATAATAATCTGAATGAAAAGCTACATATAAGTCTGCACTAAACAAATTCTGCTTATTCTGTCAATAAGTTACCAGTTTGATTTTAATTTTTACTTCCCTAATGCCTAATGATATTGAGTATTTTATATACATATTTTCCATTCACATACATTCTTTGATGAAGTGTCTGTTCAAAGATTTGCCTATTTTTTAATTGGGTTGTTTATGTTCTTACCAATGTTCAAAGTTTTTCATATATTCTAGACACAAGTCCTTTATCAAATATATACTCTAAAAACATTTTCTGTCTATGGCTTGTCTTTTCATTCCTCTAACACAATCACTCATAGAAATTTTAAAATTTGATAACATCTAATTTACCAATTTGTGTGTGGTGGTGGGGGGGAAGGGACTGTGCTTTTGGTTATATATCTATGAAATCATTTTCTAATCAAAGTCATAAAAATGTTCTATGTTTCCTTTCAGAACTTTTATAGTTTTAAGTTTTACATTTAGGACTATGATCCATTTTCAGTTTTGCTTTATTTTTTAATATGAAATAAAGTCTGAATACAAGTTCCCTGTTTTACATATGGCTATCCAATTGTTCCAGTACCATCTGTTGAGAACACTATCTTGTCTTCAATAAATGTGCCAAAAATCCATTTTTCTTACATGAGTGAATCTTCTTCTGGGCTCTCTACTCCGTTCCATTGACCTGACTATCTCTTTGTCTTGGTTAGTAGAAGTCATTGCAATAGGTCTTCCAATCAGGTATGATTAATGCTCCAACTTTGCTTTCTTTTGAAAGTTTCGGCTATTCTAGATCCTCTGTATTTGCATATGAGTTTTAAAATAAGTTTGTCAATGTCTAAAGAAGCTCACTGGGACTCAGACTATAATTGTGTTGAATCTATACAAATCAATTTAGAGAGACTGGGCATATTAAAAACAATCAAGTTTTCCAATTCACAGACAAAATTTATTCACTTATTTAGGTCTTTTTCAATTGTTCTCAATAATGTTTTTAGTTCTCAGTATACAGGTCTTGTGTTCAGTTCAGTTCAGTTCAGTTCAGTTGCTCAGTCGTGTCCGACTCTTTGCAACCCCATGAACCACAGCACGCCAGGCCTCCCTGTCCATCACCAACTCCCGGAGTCCATCCAAACCCATGTCCATTGAGTCAGTGATGCCATCCAACCATCTCATCCTCTGTTCTCCCCTTCTCCTGCCCTCAGTCTTTCCAGCATCAGGGTCTTTTCAATGAGTCAGCTCTTCGCATCAGGTGGCCAAAGTATTGAAGTTTCTGTTTCAACATCAATCGTCCCAATGAACACTCAGGACTTATCTCCTTTAGGATGGACTGGTTGGATCTCCTTGCAGTCCAAGGGACTCTCAAGAGTCTTCTCCAACACCACAGTTCAAAAGCACCAATTCTTTGGTGCTCAGCTTTCTTTATAGTCCAACTCTCACATCCATACATGACCACTGGAAAAACCACAGCCTTGACTAGACAGACCTTTGCTGACAAAGTAATGTCTCTGTTCTTTAATATGCTGTCTAGGTTGGTTATAATTTTCCTTCCAAGGAGTAAGTGTCTTCTAATTTCATGGCTGCAATCACCATCTGCAGTGATTTTGGAACCCAGAAAAATAAAGTCAGCCACTGTTTCCACTGTTTCCCCATCTATATGCCTCTTTTGTCAAATTCAACCCTAAGTATACAGGTCATGTGTATCTTTTGTCAAATCAACCTTAAGTAGTTCATATTTTTGATGTTATTATGAGTGGTATTTTTTAACTTCAATTTCCAATTGCTTGTTAATACTATTACATAGAAATAAAAGTAATTTTTATATATTGATCATATATCCTGAAATCCTGCTAGATTCGTTTGTTAGTTCTACTAACTTCTTGTGAACTCAAAGCAAGATGCTGCTGCTGCTGCTGCTAAGTCACTTCAGTCATATCCAACTCTGTCCGACCCCATAGACGGCAGCCCACCAGACTCTGCCATCCCTGGGAATCTCCAGAGAAGAACACTGGAGTGGGTTGCCATTTCCTTCTCCGATGCAGAAAAGTGAAAGTGAAGTCACTGAGTCGCGTCTGATTCTTCGCAACGCCATGGACTGCAGCCCACCAGGCTCCTCTGTCCATGGGATTTTCCAGGCAAGAGCACTGGAGTGGGGTGCCATTGCCTTCTCCAAGCAAGATACTACTACATACCTATTAGAATGGCTAATATTAAGATGACTGACTGTAACAAGTGTTACCAAGGATGTAGAGAAAGTGCAGTTTTCATCAACTTTGGGTGGAATACCTGGGCAATTTCAGATCATATACACTTAGTATATGATCTGGTTGTTCCATACCTATATTTTTTATCAAAGAGAAATGAAAGCAAATGTCTATAAAAACACCTTTATATGAATGTTCATGATAGCCTGATTTGTAACAACCAAAAATTAGTAACTCAAATATAAATCTACAGGTGAATGAATAAACCAACTGTGGAATATCCATAATAATGGAAAACTACTTAGCAATAAAACAGAACAAGCTATTGATACACACAACACAGATGAATCAAGATAATTAAGCTGACTGAAAGAAGTCAAAAAAAAAAAAAAAACCCACACACAAACTATCTGATTCCATAGAAAGCAGATCCATAAATGCACAAGAAGATATTATCGAGGGGCATAAGGAAACTTTGAGGGAGATAGTCATGTTCACTATGCTAATATTGATGGCTTCATGTCACAACTTGCCAATATGTAAATTTTCAATATGCTGCAGTTTACTGTATATCACTTAGACCTCAATTTTTAAAAAAAGAAAATATGCCAGCATGCTAGGTCCCAGAATAGACTTTTTAATTGATAAATAACTTTAAATTGATATATAATTCACACAACATAAAACTCAACCTTTTGAAGCATACAATTTGGTGGCTTTTTGTAGTGACAGAAAGTGCACAACAATCACCAGTATTTAATTCCAGAACATTTTCACCAATCCAAAGAGTGGCACCCATTAGCAGTCACTGACATTCCCTCCAGTCCCTCAGAATATAATTAACTTCCAGATGACAATGTATTTCATCTGGTCACTACATTTCAAGCCTCAAGACATTTCAAATTTGAGAGACTAGTTTTAAGTTAATATCAAGTACCTACTACTGTTTATCATTGTATTCTTTCTAAAGAGAACCAGAACCATACAAATATAAACATGATAATTTCACAGAAGTTCCAATCATAGAAATGTCATTTATAGTGTACATGTGTACCTGTAACAGTGATTACTAAATTATTAACATTATTAAAACATTAACACCAAATGTAGAAACTTTATCTCCCTCTTGACTCTCCTTATTATCAATGCCAGGACTGTCCAAGAATAAACTACAGTGGTGAATGATGAAGACGTGATGCCTCTGAAATTTTTGAATAGCACACATAATCTGCAAAGCTTTAAAAATTTAAATTAATACAATCCATTTTGAGATACCTCTACCATTTACTCCACTTTCTCAACAACTCGTCATCATTTAACATTTATAAAACTTTGGGTAAAGCCAAAGCTTCATTGGAAAGATAATGAGCTTATACTCTGCACTGCACCAACTTAGAACATTATGATGAATAACTGTGCCTTAATGTAGAAAAAAGAAGACATCACCATTTGCCTCACAGCATATGTTGTTTCTAGAAGAGATGATAATCAAAATCAAAATCTAGCAATTTTTTATTATGGAAGAGAGTCAGTGATGATAAATATAATAAGCCTCGAAATAATGTGTGTTTGCTTTTTAATGATTCTATCACCCTACAGTTTATTTTTTGGAGCACAGAAATTAAATGTGACAAAGCAAAAAATAACAGCTGATACTAGGATTTTTTACACTTTTATATTTAGCACATATTGTGAAAAAACCCTAAAGTATTTCTCACTGCTTAAAAATTAACTTTTTATGTAATATATTCCAAGCACACTAAATTACAAGTTCAATATATTCCCAATGATGTGCCTAAGCAATGTATTTGAGCATTATAAACTGAAATGCTGTTGAAGCATGATTTGTGAAGGATATTACCTTTCTATAATCAAAAACAAGCAATAAGCATTACAGTATGACTACATAATTGAAATATCAAAGATAGGAAAATTCAAAAAGAACATAAAATGCACATCTTTCTGATATTCTTTTGGCACAACTACTTTCAAAACACATTACTGAAAGTTGACTCTTGATATTTGAGATGGATGTAATCAAGGACTTTCTGAACCTAAAAATGGTACAAATTCCACTAAACACATCCACTTCAGAAAAATTACTGGGTACCCAATGAAAAGAAGAAAATCACAAAGTCTCATTAAAATGTAGGTGTTAGGTGGTTCTTTGTGTACTTAGAAGATATTCAAAATTTTGCCTAAAAAATTATGAACTCCTTCATCATGGACCTTGCAACTTGTTAACAGTCAAAGCTATGACTGTGAAACCCTCAAATGTCAAGAGGCTGCTCTAAATGTTTGAGAAAGGAATGATGAATGAGAAACGAATTCAAAAGATGTTCTAAGCATCGTATCAACATGAGACTTGTGACCTAAAAAACAGCACTTCTCCTGAACATTTCCCCCTAGGGAATGAAAACTTAAGTTCGCTTAAGACATACACACAAATGTTAAAGTGGCTTAAATTTATAATCACCAAAAACTGGAAACACAAATATCCTTCAACCAGTGAATCGATGAGCAAGAGGACTTACCAAGTTCATTGAGACTCTGAGCAGCTTTTGTTATCTCTCTACTTCCCCCCTGCAGCTGTCCTTGGAGTCTCTTACTGAGATATAAGATGCGAATGATTCTCCGAAGCAAGTCACAGGCAACCTGTGAAATGTTAAGTAAGTAAAGTCAATGCATGAAGTTTTATGACGATGTGAATCTGTTTAATCTTTCCAGATGCTAGAGATCCAATGTCCAGTCAAGACAGAGCTCTGACCAATTAAAGCAGAATCCGTTTTTTTGGTTTTTTTAATATCCTTATGCAGACCAAGTGTATAGCCAAGGTTGACAACCACTGTGCTAGGGCTGCCTAGCTTCCTACTACTGTCCCTTACTGTTTCTTAGTTTATTGTTCCTACATCCCTAGGGGAACAGACTTACTAGACCTTGAAGAATAAGCATGCCCTTAATTGATTCTTCCGAATTTATCACTAATGACTAAATGTAAAAGAGAAAGCTATTTTAAAAACAAACCTATCATTTGTATGTCACCTTCTATTCCCTTTTCTGTTACTACATCCAATCCTGGGTCTTTACCTATCCAAAAGACTACGACATGAAATAATGACTCATGCATTTCTAGACAGAGGTAATCCAGGGTGACTGCCAGGGGAGAATGACAAGAAAGGAGATTGATGGAGTAACATATATGTAATTACCTTCAGCCTCAGTAGTGACAATAAAAAAAAAAGAGAGAGACAGTCTATGTTGCTACATCACAGCCATCTTTGCATGATCCTGAAGCTGGATGAAGCAACAACATCTCCCATCTAAGGAGGAAAATCCTAACTGGTGGCAATATTAATTAAAAGCCCTAGGAAGACAGGATCCCTGAGACATCAACTATAAACATTTTTTCTGAATGACACACACATACACCTCAGAGCCACACACAGCCCCACCTGTGCATGTACAACACACACAAATGTACAATCAAATACATGTTTACAAACATATGTAAATCAAAGCAGTCAAATACTAAACATGTTTACCTGACTGCTTTTCTGAGTAACAACAGTCTGCAATACTTAAAATAATAAAATAATGTCAAGAAAAATCGCCCCCCCCCGAAAACTGGAAGATTTAGGCATCTTAATCTTTTAGTTAAATTTGATTTATTTTCTGAATAAGTCATGGAAGCATATAATTCAAAATTCAAAAGATCAGAAGATAAAAAGTCACCATCATATTTCTATGTCTCAACTATGTAGTCACCAAAAACAACCACTATTATCACTTTCTTGCTTGTCAGAATTCTATTTTTAGATGTACTATTTCGAATGTAAAATCCCAAGCAATCATTCCTCTTAAGATTCTAAACACATCATGAGGAGAAATACCAGATCTTATTTTAGCCTAATCAGCATGAACTGTCCTTCCAGAATTCCGTTAATACCTAAACCAATAAAGGATATGCCCTCAAATATGAAAGCTTTGAGCTTATTTCTAATGCTTTTCTGTTCAACCATACTTAATCTGTCACCAAGTCTTACTGATTATTCTTCTGTTGCATAATACAATAGTTATTTTCCCTCTATTCCCAAAAGCATCACCCTAATCCAAATCTTTACCACTTTTATCTTAACACTGTGGTCTCCTGGGTAGCTTTTCAATCTCTTGCTGAAATCCATCTTGCTGGCTTTATCGTCTTAGAAACAGTTTTCAGCACTTTAGCCCCCCTTTTAATAAATTTCAGTGGCTCTCTACTAACAGATTATGTTGAATTCAACAGCATTTAATAAAATCCTCAGTCAACACATCTTAGATAATCTATAAAGCACCAACTCGCACCATTTCCTAACATAATTGCTTTCACTCCAATTAATTTCCTTTTCTTCCTTATTTTTTATTTCATACTTTTATCAGCAAACATAATACAAACAATTATTTAGCATTGCCAAGAAATGATCTATCAAGACAGAAAAAGACACAGAGGAATCTTGAATGCATTTTACTAAGAGAAAGAGTCAATCTGAAAAGGCTATATATTATATGATTCCAACTATATGACTTTTGAGAAAAGACACAACTACAGAGACAGTTAAAAAGATGAGCCGTTGCCAGGAGTTGGGAGAATAAAGAGTCAAAGTATAGAGGATTTTGAGGGCACTGAAAATACTATATAAAGATGGATGTGTGCTATTTCATTTTAGTTGTGTCTGACTCTTTGCAACCCTATGGACTGTAGCCCACCAGGCTCCTCTGTCCATGCGATTCTCCAGGCAAGAATACTGGAATGGGTTGCCACACCTTCCTCCAGGGAATCTTCCCGACTCAGGGGATCGAACTCACATCTCCAGCAGCTCGTGCACTGCAGGCAGATTCTTAACCACCAAGCCACCAGGGAAGCCCTATAGTGATGGATATATGTCATTATGTATTTTGCAAAAGCCATAGAATATATACTAAGAGAGAACTATGGACTTTCATAATGATGTGTCAATGTAAGTTCATCATTTTTTAACAAGTCTGCCACTCTGGTGATAGATGTTGACTAACAGGGAGGCTATGCATGTGTGGGGGCAAGGGATACATGGGAAATCTATATCTTCCTCTCAATTTTGCTATGAATCTAAACTGTTCTTAAAAAAAAAACAGTATTCAAAAATATATTTAGATATAATATATATAGAAAATTACATACAGAAATTAAATAAACCCACTTGGAACCACCATGTGGATCAGGAAACAAAACGCGCTTGCCACTGCATAAGCCCTCCATGCGGTTGCTGCTGCCGCTCAGTCGCTCGGCCAGGTCCGACTCTAGGCGACCCCATGGACTGCAGCACGCCAGGCTTCCCTGTCCTCACCGTCTCCCAGAGTTTGCTCGCACTCATGTCCATTGAGTCGGTGATGCCATACACCATCTTGTCCTCTGTCGCCCCCTTCTCCTCCTTCCTTCAATCTTTCCCAGAATCAGGGTCTTTTCAAATGAGTCAGTTCTTTGCATCAGGTAGCCAAAGTATTGGAGCTTCAGCTTCAGTATCAATTCTTCTATCAAATATTCAAGGTTGATTTCCTTTAGGATTGACGGGTTTGATCTCCTTGCAGTTCAAGGGACTCTCAAGAGTCTTCTCCAACACCACAGTTCAAAAGCATCAATTCTTTGGCACTCAGATTTTTTTAAGGTCCAAACTCATGTCCATACATGCTGCTGCTGCTAAGTCGCTTCAGTCATGTCCAACTCTGTGTGACCCCACAGATGGCAGCCCAGGAGGCTCCCTCATCCCTGGGATTCTCCAGGGAAGAACACCGGAGTAGGTTGCCATTTCCTTCTCCATGTAGAAAAGTGAAAAGTGACAGTGAAGTCGCTCGGTCATTTCCAACTCTTAGCGACCCCATGGACTGCAGCCTACCAGGCTCCTCCGTCCATGGGATTTTCCAGGCAAAAGTACTGGAGTCGGTTGCCATAGCCTTCTCCACATCCATATGTGACTACTAGAAAAACCACAGCTTTGACTATATGGACCTTTTGTTGGCAAAGTAATGTCTCTGCTTTTTAATATGCTAAGTTTCTCATAGCTTTTCTTCCAAGACGCAAGCGTCTCTTAATTTCATGAATGCAGTCACATTCTGCAGTGATTTTGGTGCCTAAGAAAATAAAGTCTGTCACTGTTTCCATTGTTTCCCCATCTATTCACCATGAAGTGATGGGACCAGATGCCATTTTCATATTTTTTTCAATGTTGAGTTTTACACCAGCTTTTTCCCTCTCCTCTTTCATTTTCACCAGGAGGTTCCTTAGCTCCTCTTCACTTTCTGCCATAAGGATGGTATCATCTGCGTTACTGACATTTCTCCCAGCATTCTTAATTCTAGCTTGAGCTTCATCCAGCCCAGCATTTCGCATCATGTACTCTGCATATNTTTTCCAGTCCTGTGGCCACTGCCGAGTTTTCCAAACTTGCTGACATTTTGAGTGCAGCACTTTCACAGCATCATCTTTCAGGATTTGAAATAGCTCAGCTGGAATTCCATCACCTCCACTAGCTTTGTTCATAGTGATGTTTCCTAAGATTCACTTGACTTTGCACTCCAAAAGATGTCTGGCTCTAGGTGACTGATCACACCATCATGATTACCTGGATCATTAAGATCTTTTTTGTATAGTTCTTCTGTGTATTCCTGCCACCTCTTAATATCTTCTGCTTCTGTTAGGTCCATACTGTTTCTTTCCTTTATTGTACCCATCTTTGCATTAAATGTTCCCTTGATATCTCTAATTCTCTTGAAAACATTTCTTAGTCTTTCCCATTCTATTGTTTTCCTCTATTTCTTTGCATTGATCACTTAGTAAGGCTTCCTTATCTCTCCTTACTATTCTTTGTAACTGTGCATTCAGATGGGTATATCTTTCCTTTTCTCCTTTGCCTTTCACTTCTCTTTTCTCAGCTATTTCTAAGGCCTCCTCAGATAACCATTCTGCCTTTTCGCATTTCTTTTTCTTGGGAATGGTTTTGATCACCACCTCCTGTACAATGTTATGAACCTCCATCCCTAGTTTTTCAGACACTCTGTCTACCAGATCTAATCCCTTGAATCTATTTGTCACTTCCACTGTATAATCCTAAGGGATTTGATTTAGGTCATACCTGAATGGCCTAGTGGTTTTCCCTACTTTCTTCAATTTAAATATGAATTTTGCAATAAGGAGTTCATAATCTGAGCCATAGTCAGCTCCCAGTCTTGTTTTTGCTGACTGTATAGAGCTTCTCCATCTCCGCTGCCAAGAACATAATCAATCTGATTTCAATACTGACCGTTCTGGTGATGTCCCTATATAGAATCGTCTCCTGTGTTGTTGAAAGAGGGTGTTTGCTATGATCAATGCATTCTCTTTCAAAACTGTTAGCCTTTGCCCTGCTTCATTTTGTACTCCAAGGCCCAACTTGCCTGTTACTCTAGGTATCTCTTGACTTCCTACTTTTGCATTCTAGTCATGACATCCTCCATCCAACCTCCCTACTTCCCCCAGCCCAAGAGAGACATCATTCTGGCTTTTGTGGTGATCATGTCCTTATTTTCATTTATAGCTTCATCACTGAAGTGTATATACCTAAATGCTTTAGTTTAATTTGGCTCTTTTTAAATCTATATAGGTTTCC